CAGGACCTCCAGCATAAATAGTCTCAGTCAGATTCCTCAGAGTGGCATTCCCGCCAATGGGGTCGGAAGTAACATAAAGCGCAACATCATGCCCTGACTGTATGGAAAACATGACTGACACCCCTCTTTCCACTCTCAACACAGGAGCTTCCTTTTTGTTGATGTAAATAACCTTGGCTGGATTTGGAGGGTCAGGATAATGCATTGTTGGGCCAGTCGTAACAACCAAAGGAACTTTGGCATCAACAATGATGATATCTTGATCCTCTTTATCAACAACATCCAAGGGACTGTTACACTCATTGACATGCTGAGAAACATTGAGAACCAAATGGCCAAAAGATCCAAAGGGAAGATCCCCATGATTATGAGGAAGATAATACGGCAAAACAGTATCAGGAGCTCTAATCTTTCCCAAAGCCCAAATAACAGTTATGTTAGCAAATCGATCAACACGGTGATCATATTTGGCATCAACTGGACTCATTGAGACGCTGTAGTTCAGCTCACCACAGCGAAAACCTTGGATATTAATATTCTGAAGGATTACAATGCTTAAAAATAGGAAACTAAACTCCAAAAAAAACATATCAAAATGCTATGGAAATTCTAAAGGAAAATAGAAATGAAAAGTATCAAACTACCTATACAATTATCCTATATATCCTATAATATTCTTTAAAAATCCTAAGAAAATATCTAAATAAAATATTTACAAAGAAATTAAAATACAAAAAAGAAAAGAAACAAAAACAATGCTGCCAGGGGGTGTAGTCAGTCCTGGAGGGTAAGCTTCAGCAAAAACACCAACGGCACAGCCCAACAGCCACTTGCTGCAAAAAATGGAGGAGGGCGTAAGGAAAACGGAGACGTATCAGCCTGTAAATGAACGTTGGGCCTGGCCCAACTCCAAGGACAGCAAACAATAAGGAAAACGGATGGTGCGAGTCTGAAAAAAGTAAATGGGCTTTGAAGCCCAAAACCAAAACCGGGTCCAAGGGGACCTCTCCTCTTCCTTCACTTTGGTCAGGAAGCCTCTCTCCTTCTTCCTCACCAGCCGTCGCCGGAACCTCTTCTACCCCTCTCTGTCTCCGTTTTGAACTCCCCAAACTCATAACCTTAACCCGACCCTTTCTTCTCCTCAGCTTCACTTCAATTTTTTCGCATCGCCCTCTCCGTGCATAATCTCGAATGAGATCTCCAGATCCACATCAACGAATCTTCAAGATTTTTTCCAGATCTCAAGCATTCAACCGGCTTCGTATTTTCCGGTAACTTTCAAGAACCTTCATAGACCTTCAACGTTTTTGCCAGACTTCTTCAACCACATTCAACCTTCAACACCATTGAATCTCCTCACGACATACAACTCCAGAAAACTTCATCAACAAGAATCGCAACATCAACAGGAATCGCAACTAACTTTAAACTCTCCGATCACCATCACGTTCACAAGCGGCGATTCGGATCCACCATAATCCGAACACTATCGGCTTAACTTAATTCGGATCTCTTCCATATGCTTCGTGAAACTATCTTCATCTTCTTATTTTTGTTGTACTTCGGATATGCAGATCCTGCTCCGAAATGCACCCGGAGCAGTTCTTTCGATTTCGAATCCGACTTCATTATGGTTCAGCATCAGCTCAGAGGCCATATCAAGATCATTGATGATTGTTCTTTTAGGGTTTCTCAATTTGATATGCTTTCTGGCGTCGATGTGCATTGGTGGGGCGCACTCGCTCCTGATTTCGATAACCTCACCACCGGATTCATCGTTTCAGATCACAAGCTTAATCATACATACGCAAATTCCACGTTCGTAGTACAATTGATGACAAATATCACGTGGGACATGATCCCTGTTCTTACTGTTTGGGATGTTCCGAGCGCCTCCGATTTCGGTCATATTCTGATTCAAAATCTCACCTCTACGGCGGAGTCTCCGCCCGGGAGCGACGGAGATCTCACCTCTACGGCGGAGTCTCCGCCCGGGAGCGACGGAGAGAAGAAAGTGAATGTAAGTGTTCATACAGAGCCAACTATGTTTGATAATTGTAAGGTTCTGTCGAAGGATTTTAGGGTTCGTTGGAGTTTGAAACCAAAAGAGGATATAGTTGAGATTGGGTTGGAGGGTGCCACTGGGGTTATGAATTACATGGCTTTTGGTTGGGCTAACCCTAATGCCACTGATGCAGAACTCATGGTTGGTGCTGATGTGGCAGTTACTGGATTTAAGGAAGATGGTTTGCCATTTGTGGATGACTTCTTCATCACCAAGTATAGTGAGTGTGTGAAAAACAGTGAAGATGGAACTGTTGAAGGGGTTTGTCCTGATTCAATCTATGAGGGGCCGAATAGAGTTGGCTTGGTGAATGATACAAGGTTGATTTATGGTCATAGGAGTGATGGGGTTTCATTGGTTAGATACAGGAGACCTTTGAGTCCGGTTGATGCCAAATATGATCACCGTGTTGATCGATTTGCTAACATGACTGTTATTTGGGCTTTGGGAAAGATTAGAGCTCCTGATACTGTTTTGCCGTATTATCTTCCTCAGAATCATGGGGGTCTTCCCTTTGAATCTTTTGGCCATTTGGTTCTCAATGTTTCTCAGCATGTCAATGAGTGTAACGGTCCCTTGGATGCTGCTGATAAAGAGGATCAAGATATCATCATTGCTGATGCCAAAGTTCCTTTGGTTGTTACGACTGGCCCAGCACTGCATTATCCTGACCCTCCAAATCCAGCCAAGGTTATTTACATCAACAAAAAGGAAGCTCCTGTGTTGAGAGTGGAAAGAGGGGTGCCGGTCACGTTTTCCATACAGTCAGGGCATGATGTTGCGCTTTATGTTACTTCCGACCCCATTGGCGGGAATGCCACTCTGAGGAATCTGACTGAGACTATTTATGCCGGAGGTCCTGAGGCTCATGGAGTTCAGGCCAGTCCTACAGAACTAATTTGGGCTCCTGACAGGAACACTCCTGATCAGGTTTACTATCATTCAGTGTATGAGAAGAAAATGGGTTGGAGAGTAGAGGTTGTGGATGGGGGTCTATCTGACATGTATAACAACAGTGTTGTTCTTGATGATCAACAGGTTACCTTCTTTTGGACATTATCAAAGGATTCGATATCTATTGCTGCTCGTGGTGAGAAAAAGAGTGGTTATCTTGCTATAGGATTTGGCAGTGGAATGGTGAACAGTTACACATATGTGGGATGGGTTGATGACAATGGTGTTGGTCGTGTTAACACTTATTGGATTGATGCACAGGATGCCTCGGGTATACATCTTACAAACGAGAATTTGACACATGTGAGATGCAAAACAGAAAACGAAATTATTACTTTGGAATTTACTCGTCCCTTGGTTCCATCTTGTAGTAGGGGCAAAAGGCCAGAATGTAACGACATCATTGATCCCACAACTCCGCTAAAAGTCATATGGGCAATGGGTAGTACATGGAGTAATGGACATCTTAGTGAGAGGAATATGCATACGCTGACTAGTACCAGGCCTATATTAGTTCAGCTGATGCGTGGTTCTGCAGAAGCAGAGCAGGATTTACTTCCAGTTTTGGCTGTGCACGGTTTCATGATGTTTCTTGCATGGGGCATTTTGCTTCCTGGAGGTATATTGGCAGCCAGGTACTTGAAACATTTGAAGGGCGGTGGTTGGTACAAAATTCACGTTTACATGCAATACTCAGGGTTATCAATAGTTTTTCTTGCACTTCTTTTTGCGGTTGCTGAGCTTCGTGGTTTTCATGTTAGCTCAACACATGTTAAATTTGGAATTGCTGCAATATTTTTGGCTTGCATACAACCAGTTAATGCATTCCTTAGGCCCCCAAGACCGACAAATGGGGAGCAGGCATCATATAAAAGGATTATCTGGGAATACTTGCATATAATTGTTGGCAGATCTGCAATTGCTGTTGGCATTGCAGCACTTTTTACTGGCATGAAGCATTTGGGGGACAGATATGCCTTGGAAAACGTTCATGGACTCAGTTGGGCCATGATAATCTGGTTCTTAGTAGGTGCATTAAGTATTGCTTATTTCGAATACCGCGAGAAGCAGAGAGTCAGGGATCAGATATTTGGAAGAGGCAATTGGGTGCTCGGTAATGAGGAAGATGATTCCATGGATCTCTTGAGTCCACCAAATACACATGCAACAAATAAAGAGTCACAAGCCTCCGCAAGATTGGAAATCCAGTTAGAACCTTTAAACAGGTAGATAGATGCATTTTTTAACTTGCCATTGAAAGCCTCCATCTGCAGCAGTTGTTGGCAAATTCCTCATTTAATCTGAGCTTTCAGGATTATTCATCATTAGTTATGAGGGTTGAGGCATTTTTGAGGTGTAAAGGGAGCACTTGTTCATCAGTCTCTTTGTACTGATGTGGCCATTTTGTGAAGAGAGTAGCTTTCTCATAGTTTATATACATGTTCAGTAGATAGGTTATATCTTTTGTTCAATCTAGCTGCTATACTTTTTTCTTCCCCCTCCAAAACAAAATCAAGAAATCAAAGTTTACGAAGTGAAAGCTTTATTGTCTGTTAATGTAGGTTCTGTTTTCGTAGGTGTAATTCAGACATAGAAGGGCTATCCTGCCAAAAACAATGTTGTAAATTATGCGATGCAGATAACTAATACAACATGACGCCATTAGTTTTTTATTTCAATGCAATTTTCTGAAGTTGGTCATGGAGAATTTAAACCATGTCAACCATTTTTTTAAAAAAAAAATTAGCATGTCTATTGTTGCGCCTCAATGCGTTTTTTCTTTGTGGAAATACAGAAGCAAGAAATCATATTATCATATTATATCGACCAATGGAACCCCAAAATTATAGACCACAAATAGATAGACCCAAAATCTAAGTGCATCTTCCTTTGCTAATGTTTTTTAGATGCTTTTTCTATCACAAAAGATACCTTCTATTCATCTATATCACGGGATATCCTGGACTATTTGAGGAGAGACATGATTGGTCCAGAAGGTGAAATATTTTCAGCAGAGGATGCTGACAGTGCAGAAACCGAAGGGGCTACACGTAAAAAGGAAGGATCCTTCTACATATGGACCAGCAAAGAGGTCTGTCATTCAGATTTTATCTGCTTTTCCTTAATATATTTCTTATGGCAAATTGCATTATAGGTTCTTGAAAAGAAATAGATTCAATTGGTTCATTACAAAAAATTATCTTTCAATTGGGTTCAAAATCCTACCGGGCTCAGAGGGATGACATAAAATACTATGACATGGTGTTCAAGTTGCTGGCATGGTCCAATGGTTCACTGATGTGGCAATCAATTGGATATAAATCAATTTGTTGTTCTGTCACAGAAAATAATAACAGTTTTTCAAGAGCACGCTATGTTGTCAATCTTGTTTCTTAATTATTGTTTGTTAGTAGTAGGCCTAAAAACAGGTCTGGCCGTCTATCCCAGCCTATGGCTCAGGCCAGACTAAAGTTATTTATAATATAAACTATAGAATGGCTATTAAAAATACTAGTATTTAACTAAAAATGTTAAGCTTCAAAGCACCATGTTATTCTTTACTTTGCTTTGGAAAATAATTACAATATGTTTGGAATTGATCAAGAAATGTTTGCCGTAACTTGTGAGTTATGACCCCTCTTCAAATTTTGACTATATTTTATATGTTATAAGTCAGTTGTTTTGGTCAGCTAGACACTATTTACACAACTGTGGATTATAAATAGATACATATGTTTTTGGTCACAATATCTTTAATAGGGGTGGAAGGTTGGGCCTCACAAGGCTTTGCTTAAATAGGTCTGAACTGTTCTAAAAATTCAAAGCCCTAGTTTCAGTTTGACTTGTTAGTTGCCATCACTCATAAGTTTATTTTTCGGTCCGGCCTGCTAGCATGTTTAAAGGTTTGATATCCGACTTATCTCTATGTGCTTATTTAAGCACAAATAGGCCAACTCAGAACAAGATAAATAGGGGTAGGGGTCAAAGCATGATGAAAAATAAGGGTCGAAATAGAGTATGTTAAGTTGAATGTTATAAGATTGATATTATCTTGTTTATTTGATTCAAGTCTTTTTTAAGATTGATATCATCCTGTTTATTTAATTTAACTCTTTTTTAGTGTATGACAAAACATTGGTCTTATCTATTTAACAAAAAATTCTAGCTGGTGTGGGCCTAATATAGAGTATCAAAGATGTCCGGACATTTTTTCACCCCTTTATTGCACTTCCTTCTATTCAAGTTAAAAATAAGCAAATAAATCACGGAGATCATTTTTCCTAAATAAAAATTGTGATTTAAGCTTCTATGTCCATTTTTTGGAAAATAAATATGTTGTTGCCTACATTGTGTTAATTTCTCATAAGATGGTGTAATCAATTGGTTCTAAAATTTTAACTGTCTCTGAACCTGGTACTTGTTTGTTCTGTTTAGGTTGAAGACTTACTTGGAGAGCATGCTGCTCTTTTTGAGGAGCACTACTACATAAAACAGATGGGTAACTGTGACCTATCTGAAATGAGTGATCCTCACCATGAATTTAAGGAAAAGAATGTCCTGATTGAGAGGAATGATCCTTCAGAAATTGCATCAAAATATGGTTTGTCAGTTGAGACATATCAAGAAATTCTTGGAGAATGCAGGCGTAAGTTGTTTGAAGTAAGGTTGAGGCGCCCAAAGCCACATTTGGATGATAAGGTATAAGGTATTTCCCTTGAGCATTCTATTTATTTAGGATCTACTTAGGTTTAAAGTGAGTACTATAATTGTTGATGAATAAATCAATGGTTAATATTATATTTACATGCTTAGATAGGGTATGTTGAAATATCAAGCATTGATTTTCTCATTTTACTCTTTTCACTTCAGAGGAGCCAAATCATAAACTTTTTATCTATGCTCGCAATAATATATCCTATGCTTCTAGGTTACTGTGTCTTGGAATGGACTGGCAATCTCATCTTTTGCTAGAGCTTCTAAGATTCTAAAGGGTGAAGCTGAAGGGATGAAATTCAACTTTCCTGTTGTTGGCACTGAAGTAAGTTTTTTCCTTGATTAATGTGGTGGTGAAGTTAGAGAACTTTTGATATTTTATTTTAGCTTAATATCTATGAATATTTAAAAAGATGGGAGACAGTCCTCTTATTGTGTTGCTTCAGGAAGATGTCTGTTTACTAATGTCGCCGCAAGTGGTAATCATAATTCTTGCTTTGGAAAGTATGAAAAAAATTGTGGGGCCTGGGGGAGCACTTAGTTGAACTCTTTTCTGTTAAGTCATTGATTATGTATTTATTTTTCTCCTTTTGGTTGTCCATATTCCAGCCAAAGGAGTACTTGAGAATAGCAGATAAAGCAGCATCCTTCATTAGGAATCAACTTTATATTGCAGAGACTCGCAGACTACAACACAGTTTCAGAAACACTCCATCTAAAGCTCCTGGTTTCTTGGATGATTATGCTTTTTTGATTTCTGGATTGCTGGATCTCTACGAATTCGGGGGTGGAATCAACTGGCTTTTATGGGCCACTGAATTACAGGAAACCCAGGTAGAGATCGATGCCTGAACTTGATGGAAATTTCATATTTTTTTTTCCTAATGAGATGAGTTACTTGCAGGATTCTTTGTTTCTAGATAGGGATGGAGGCGGATATTTCAAATAATACAGGAGAAGATTCTTCAGTTCTTCTCCGTGTGAAGGAAGACCATGACGGGGCAGAACCGTCGGGGAACTCTGTCTCCGCAATAAATCTTATAAGGTTGGCTTCCATGGTTTCTGGAAGTAAGGCGGATTAGTATAAGCGAAATGCAGAACATCTATTGGTATGTAAACCTCTCCCCTCCTCTCTATCAGGTTCCCACTAAGTCAGTTGCAACTCACTAGGATTCCCTTTATACTGTTTTGCAGGCAGTTTTTGAGAAAAGATTGAAAGATACGGCCATGGCAGTGCCTTTAATGTGTTGTGCAACAGACATGCTCCGCGTGCCTTCCCGGAAGCAAGTGGTGGTGGTAGGCGAAAGGACTTGCGAGGAATTTGAAACATGCTTGCTGCAGCTCACACATTATATGATCCCAACAGAACAGTAAGCAAAATCACTCTTTATATTTCTTTCTGGTTGTGGTTGTCATCAATAACATTTGCGCGGGTGTTAATTGTATAGGTTATTCATATCGATCCCAACAACAAACAAGATATGGAATTTTGGGAAGTAAATAACAGCAATATTGCTCTAATGGCGAAGAATAACTGTGCAGTTGACAAGGTTGTATGCCAAAACTTCACATGTAGTGCCCCTGTGACTGATCATTCATCACTTGAAGCTTTGCTCTCCCAAAAAATCCCCTCTTAGTGGAAATAAGCTATTCGAAGCTTCTGTATCTTGTATTTGATGAGTCATGCTCCTTTCATTTTCTCATGCCCCACTCTACCTCTCTCTTGCGACGCGTAGCAATAGCACATGTTACCATCTAAATTTTAAACAACCCTCAGGACTAGTCAAAAACAGTTTGATACGATTTTACCACTGTTTAAATAGTTTAAATCCTTTGACTTTAATCTTAAACCGAACCATGCAAAAGCTATTATACTAATATATAATGAATAATGATATCTAACTAATTAAAAATATTTATTAACAATATAAAATAGGGATGTAAATATAAGACTTTGTTTAATTTGTGAAATATTTTCTATTTTCATTACATAAAATTTATACTAGTTTTATCTTTTAATAAAGAAAGAGTAGAGTTTGAAAACCTCAAACTCTTAAAACCAATGTTTTAAAATTTTAATTAGTTTGTTCATTCGGTTTGATCAGAAATTGAAGTGAATCCGATTGAATCAACCTTTTAAAATCATTAATGGATCAAAATCGGATTGAACCGTTTAAAACTATTCGAACCAAAGAATTGGTTTTATAAAACCGTCCATATTATATTCTATTATTTCAATTTTGGTATGAGTTAGTTTAATTTATTTTATTGTAGTTCTTTAGTTTGAGTTTGGTAAAAATATTTTTAAAGGATGGTTGAAATGAAGTGTAAAATTATGTTATGTTATGTATTATCGATATTGTTGTATTAAATTGTCATGAATTTTTAAAATATTTATTTTATTAAGTTGGTAACATATAATTATGTGTGACATATCTATAAAATTTAGTTTTCTATTATTAATTTATTTAATAAATAATTCGAGCGTAGATTTAATCGATTAAATCAATTGAACTTTAAACTGCAAGCATCACCTATTCGATCTTATTTTTAAAACATTACTTAAAACATTTAACAATATTTGATTTTCAATTAAAATCACCTTTAAAACATCAGTTCTCCAAATTTTGGTCTTCTTATTTATTATTATTATATATTCCGAACATGGAAATTACTAATCCTATCTTAATAGTTAATAGGTGGAAAACACCTTATAAAAATTTAAAATTGTTTGTTAGATTTAGTAGATATAATTTTGGACTCACTTTTTGCTATACTGAATAACGTCTCAAGTGTATGTTATTTCATTTTGATCTGGAGTGATCATAATAGATCGTCTTGGCCTTCAATGTATGGCAACAACAATCGTTATAGAAGAGGAGGGGTGTATATGCAAGATACTTTGATGCTAAAGTAAGTTTGGGTTAGAGAGAAAGCAAGTACGAGTGTTTAGGTATGAGTTAGAATGATTAGAATACCTGACCCTCTCAAGAGAGAGGGTATTTATGAGATTTTCCTTAGCGCAGGATCAAGGTCTCCCATGTGACTAAAATATCTGGTCGGCCAATGGGGGACTGCCAGGTGGAAGATCTAGCACGTGATCTTTAACCTGGTCCAATTGTCCCTGTGAAGTTCGGAGGGGCAGTTGGTCGCGTGAATTGTCAAGTGCGTGAGGGGGATGTTCCCAACGAATATATGCCGTAACGATTATATTATGCCCAACGGTCATATTGTATTCAACAACTATATTATGCACAACGACTAGATTGTCCTAATCTTCTTATTGGACCTAGCATTAAGTTAAACGGGATTGTGCCTTGCCCAACTGTGGGACATGTGCCAGTCCAGCCAGAACAGGAGCCCCCCAAGTTGTTGCTTTGAGGTGAGGAGTAATGATTTAAGTTAGCCTAGTTGGTCGACCAAGGGGCAAGAACCGTATCGCGTGGAGATCTTTGAGGTCGCTATTATTTGAACGAAAAACTTCGGGGACGCGCATGTGCGTAACATATGATTATTATGGTCGACTGTTGATTGCGCGTGGCCTCCTTAGAGGTTCAAGGACGTGGTCGAATATGAAATGTGCGTTTTACGTCGACCATACTTGTTTTTAAGATGAAGAAAATATCGACGAGACTCCTGCTCGGATGCTGATCTGGTGACGTTGTCGAGGAGAATGTGCTCGCGGGGAGCTGAAGGGACTTGTCTTTTCACAAGCATGTGAGGGGTCAGTTTTGATAATGCCAACTGACAACTTCTTCTGCCATGTATGAAGGCGCAATAAATTTTGTTATGTTATGTATTATCGATATTGTTGTATTGAATTTGTCATGAATTTTTAAAATATTTATTTTATTAAGTTGGTAACATATAATTATGTGTGACATATCTATAAAATTTAGTTTTCTATTATAAATTTATTTAATAAATAATTCGAGCGTAGATTTGATCGATTAAATCAATTGAACTTTAAACTGCAAGCATCACCTGTTCGATCTTATTTTTAAAACATTACTTAAAACATTTAACAATATTTGATTTTCAATTAAAATCACCTTTAAAACACCAGTTCTCCAAATTTTGGTCTTAAGCAAGAGACAAGTCTTATTTATTATTATTATATATTTCGAACATGGAAATTACTAATCCTATCTTAATAGTTAATAGGTGGAAAACACCTTATAAAAATTTAAAATTGTTTGTTAGATTTAGTAGATATAATTTTGGACTCACTTTTTGCTATACTGAATAACGTCTCAAGTGTATGTTATTTCATTTTGATCTGGAGTGATCATAATAGATCGTCTTGGCCTTCAATGTATGGCAACAACAATCGTTATAAAAGAGGAGGGGTGTATATGCAAGATACTTTGATGCTAAAGTAAGTTTGGGTTAGAGAGAAAACAAGTACGAGTGTTTAGGTATGAGTTAGAATGATTAGAATACCTGACCCTCTCAAGAGAGAGGGTATTTATGAGATTTCCCTTAGCGCAGGATCAAGGTCTCCCATGTGACTAAAATATTTGGTCGGCCAATGGGGGACTGCCAGGTGGAAGATCTAGCACGTGATCTTTAACCTGGTCCAATTGTCCCTGTGAAGTTCGGAGGGGCAGTTGGTCGCGTGAATTGTCAAGCGCGTGAGAGGGATGTTTCCAACGAATATATGCTCTAACGAATATATTATGCCCAACGGCCATATTGTATTCAACGGCTATATTGTGCACAACGACTAGATTGTCCTAATCTTCTTATTGGGCCTAGCATTAAGTTAAATTGGATTGTGCCTTGCCCAACTGTGGGACATGTGCCAGTCCAGCCAGAACAGGAGCCCCCAAGTTGTTGCTTTGAGGTAAGGAGTAATGACTTAAGTTAGCCTAGTTGGTCGACCAAGGGGCAAGAACCGTATCGCATGGAGATCTTTGAGGTCGCCATTATTTGAATGAAAAACTTCGGGGACGCGCATGTGCGTAACATATGATTATTATGGTCGACTGTTGATTGCGTGTGGCCTCCTTGGAGGTGCAAAGACGTGGTCGAATATGAAAGGTGCGTTTTACATCGACCAGACTTGTTTTTAAGATGAAGAAAATATCGACGAGACTCCTGCTCGGATGCTGATCTAGTGACATTGTCGAGGAGAGTGTGCCCGCGGGGAGCTGAAGGGACTTGTCTTTTCACAAGCATGTAAGGAGTCAGTTTTGATAATGCCAACTGACAACTTCTTTTGCCACGTATGAAGGTGCAATAAATTTTGTTAAGGCCTAAGAGGCTAGACAATGATGACATTTTTCTCTTTGCGTTTTTTCATGCGAGCAAGAGAGCCTATATAAAGGGGGAAAGAGGATTCATTTTCACTTCACAAAAATTTCTCTCCTCTTTATCTTTTGCTCTGCAACAAACGTCCGTCGCCAGAGATTCTTTCTCCGCCGTCCGTTGCTCTTGCCTTCCCCAAGATCTTCATCTTGAACCTCTGAATCCAAGTAAGTTCTCCAACCTTCTTGTAAAAATGCATGGATTTTTGGAAATTTATCTTGAGTTCACCGACGGTGCATGACTTTCTCGATTGAAGTTCATGTGTTTCTAGATGAACACATGAATTTTCTAGAAAATTCATGAAGGCCTTGAAGAACATAAATCTAGGATGTTGTATGTCTATAGATCTTCCTAGGTTGTCTTGTGAGAATGTTTCATGTTTGTTGTCGGGCAGGGGTGTCCTCAACGCTGAGGGTTTCACCTTTAGGTGTCTAACACATCATAGTAGTCACGGGGCTTATCCCCCTTTAGGGTATTTACAAGTTACGGGGACGTGTCCCTGTTTTCGGGGAGGGTTTTCGTCGAGACCCTTTGTCATTGATAAGGGCTTGAGTCGAGAAGACATCCTCATACTTAATCCTCGCCCTTTCACTTGATTTGTGGTGGAAGGGTGAATTTGATCTTCATCGAATTCAATTTTGCTTCCTCTGCTTTTCAGGTGAAATGGCTTATCAAAACGAGGGAACCGTCCCCGACGTTGAGATAACTACTAATGAAGATGCACATCCCGCCGAGTATGCCAATATGCGGGTCACAGAGGGGGACATTAGTTAGATCTTCCAAGAGCCTCTCGTGACAAAGTCAACATTTATCAAGGAGGAGGCCATTAACTTTGATCTCCTCGAAGATAGGGCTGAAGATACGCCCATGAGTTGGAGGGTGATTAGTCTGACAGAGAACGACCGAATATGCTTGGTGTGTCCAGGGAGGAGATTCCCAATGTACGAGTTCTCTTTTAGGGAAGCAGGGTATCGTCTTCCCTTCACGGACTTCCAAGGGGCGATATTTTGTCATCTTGAATTGTGTCCTGCCCAACTTCACCCAAATGCTCTAGCGTTCATCCGGGCTTTCAAGCTGGTATGTCGTTATATTAGGATAAGGGCTACCATGGAAATTTTCTTCTGCATCTTCCAGCTGCAGAGGAGCACCTCTGAGTCAAAGCAGAGTTGGGTATCTTTCAAGCAGCAGAGCAGGCTGTTTTGGCCCTATTCAGAGTCTGTCAAAATTTCAAGTTTAGATTTCTAGTCGTAAAGCGCCTTTTAGAGACGGCTAAGAGTTCCCTGGTTACCATGGTGACGATAAAGGAGGATGGTTGGGACATGGTGCG